ATGAAAAAAATAAATGTTGAGTTGAGAGTCTTCCCAAGCTTAGACTAGTCCCGTTGAACCCACTTCATGGAAAATCAAACTCATCTTTAAGACTCATTCCTTTCTTTTGCACCCAGTTTGACTTCAAGTGGTGTTGATGGACCAAAAATAAACGAACAAATTAGATAGCATAAAATAGAAGTAAAATTATTTCAAAAACTATTTTTATAGAGTTCAGTGTTTCAAAAGTCTCAAACAAAGCCAGAGTGGATGAGTTTCTGTGCAGTATCTGATAATGAACAACTTTTCTACTGAGTAAATTCAACATTAGTGCATCCTTAATGCACTTAAGACCCTTCAGTGTTTTATTTTATTTTATTAACTCCTGTCACAATTTCGGTAGAGTAATATAGTTCTATGTGTTGACTAGCAACAAACGTCATTTGGGTAGGCCATTATTAGTATGTGATAATTATCAACCATATTGACAGCTACCGAAGCTTAATTAAGAATATGACGTCGATTGTTTTTGTTGGTTATTTTACAGTGTTCAACAAGAATTGTATATGTATGGGAGTATTTTATTTTTAGTATTTATTTACTTTTAAATATACGTGGAAAAATAATTAAAAATGGTTTACTCTATTTTTAAAATTTGAAAACTTTCCCACAAGTTGGATCACTGGTTACTACACTTTTTTTGTTTTTCCCTTGCAAAATGAGTTGTAAGTATCTTTTTTTTTTCCTTTTCAAATGTCTTTTCAAGAGATGATCATGATGAACCATTGCACTTGGCAAAAACACACAATATAATATAATTTAGAATTTAAAAAAGAAATCTTACTCATTCCTAATTGACTTTGATATCATCTCTTAATAGTCAGTATTTTAAAATCATTTGTTACAATATCTTTTTTTGTTACGTTTTTATTCTGTATTAATATGTAATTGATTTTGATGTTTTACTCGAAAATACTACTTTTCTTATCTTCAATAACTCAAGGAAAAAAAAGTGCTTGCACAATATTAAAAATAAATAAATAAATAAATAAATAACTATTATTTTATTTTTATATTTATCATAAAGTATTTTATAGTTTCAACTTACATCAACCTAAAAGACTCTTGCTTTGATATAGCAGTAATGCCAAAAATCAAGTCATTGATTTGTAAGAATAAGCAATACAATCAAGGTGAATATATGGACAAATGTATGGATCTTTAGATGGATAATTATAAATAAAAATGGATTAAGCCAACCTTGGTAGAAGTTTTTGCAATGACTTTTTGCACAAATTTTCATTATATTTTTCATTTTATTTTTGTAAAACAAAATCAATTCAAGATGTAAGTAAGATTTTATTATGGTTTTAAAGATATATGTGTCTTTTGTACAAGTATTATTGTTGCATTCGGGCCAAACAAACAATTATAGATAATTTATAATTTCAATAAAAATCATCTTGAATTTAGTTGCTTATTACTAAGCCTACATTCTAATTCCATTGGGAGAAGGTGCACACCTAGTTGTGCCAACAAGAAACTTGATAACCAAATTTTAAATATGAAATCTAAATTTATTTGTGAATAAAAGAAATTTCCTATGAATATATATATATATATATATATATAGGTATAGGTATATATGTCTCAATAGATAATTTAATAATCAAAATTAATATGATTTGAAATATGCTTCTTATTCTCCTCCACTACTAAGAGCCCATTCATGTATCCATCCATCATTTCCTTTTCCTTCTTCACTTGGACATGCCTTCATTTGGTCTTTATATATATATATATATATATATATTCTTTTTCTTTTTCTTTTTCTTACCAGTTTATTTTTTATTATAAAAAATAAAAATAAAGTTTGGTGGGAGACCATAGCGTGTCTGTCAAAAAGAAAGAAACCTCAAAATAAAACGAAATAAAAATTTATTGTCACTAAGATATTTTTAATAGTATTGTAATCAAATTTATCACAATGTAAAGTTTATATTGTCTTTGAAACATCATTAAGAACTAAATATTTATAAATCTAAATAAAAATTAGATACAACTTGTTAGATTTTTTGTTGAATTCTATGTTTGATTCAAGTTATGTTTTAAGAATCTATTGACACCCTTCAATTTTGAAAATGGATGACAATATCATGTGATTGTTGTGAAGGCAGGAGTTACTATTCACATCTGTACTTATGCAGAAGTAATCTAGATTTGCAGTGTTTACATTGAGCAAAGTATTTATTGAATCAACAGTTGTTAAAACAAAATTATATTTTAATCAAATGATTGAAATAAATAATAGACATCTCTTTGTTTCAAATCAATACTTAATTCCAAATAGAACAAAGAGAAAGAAAAGAAGGTTAAGCATATTTTAGTTTTTTGACCATTTGAACACTTTGACACACTCACACACATATTTATGTGTATACATGTGTATGTGTATATACATATATATATATACATACATATATATATATACATACTCAGGTATAAGTTTCTTTTCATTTTCTGAGAAACATATAAGAATGCATTGCTCATTCAAGGTAATCAAAATTACTCAGTAGCATGTGTTTTACATGTTCAGTTGTAAAAGTAGACATTAATTACAAAATTTTAATTCTGATTTTTTCACATATATGGATTTGTATTAAAAAACGATTTTATTTTTTTTTGCATCAAACACTTGATTTTCGAACATCTAAATTGGGAGTTTTACTTCATTGTTAATGAGACTATCCATTGTAAGTATATTTACCCCACTTCTTGCTCTGTGCTAAGCATGGTCCACCTCTTTCATGTTATATAATATTCCTGGGCACCCACTTTATGTTTTTAGAATTTTATTATATTCTATTTGATCTTATTATAAAATATAAGAATGCAAAAATTATATAGAAATCGTCTATAAAAAACAAATAAAAGAGAAGACAGAATTGAAAAAGAAATAAAAAAGTTGATATTCTGTGAGTCCACTTCAATAGACACAAGAAATTGCAAAGAGGATATGCCAAAAATATTGATTTCACATGGTATGATTGGGCATTGGTTTGTTTTGTCCAAATCAATCAGTGATCTGAGATCTCTTCTTCATGGTCACACATACACAAACATTTGCTTCACGGGGGGTTCTTTTAACTTGGAAATCCTCTGCGAGGGATGGAATTTCCACCACAAAGATTGTCACACCAATTTGCTCTACACCACCATTCAAAAACCACTAAACAAACATAACACACATACATTCTTCTAGTTAAAAAACAGAAGAAGTTAATTCACAATCTGTGTTGCACAGAGGAAGAATCTCCCAAGCTTGAAACCTTGCTCCAGTTCTCTCCCAATGGAACTGTTGAGATGACAAAGCTCATAACATACTTTCTTCAGATGCAACAAATGGGCTTGAGACACATGGGGATTGTGACAGTTTCTGTCCCACCTGGAGCTGGATCAACTACAGCGACTGAAGTTGCCCAATTGTAGACATCAGCTTCAGATTGTATATTGAAAAATACACATATATATATATATATATATATATATATAAACAAAAAAAAACAGAAAAAACCACAGTGATGGGCAATGTGTCTGAGCCCATTTAGTTCTCTGGGTAGTATGTAGTCCAGAGCCCATGTTATCAAACAAAGAGGAAAGTTTCAAAACCCCATAGAAAGCAAGCCAAGTAGTAGGGTGGTGTGTCACCTTTCTGTGTGTTTGACTGGATGGATGGCAGGCCTGTTGTGGGATTGACCCTTCTCCTTCTTCATCTCCTTCATTCGCATGCTTCTTCTCCTAACTTACATCATTGTCTGTTTCATATTCCACTAACTCTACAATGGCATAGAGCATGGCATGGCCCTGGCTGACAATGGTAGGGCACAGAGCTTTCCCCTTCCAGCCATTCACTCCCTCCTCCTTGCCTGGCTGTGGGTGTGCACTTCTCATGTCTATCAACATGGGAATGGTGTCAGCCCCCCCCCCCCCCCCCTCATATTCCTAACTGCCCTGACTTGGACTTGTGCTGCTGGTAGACAGTGACTCAGACACACAGACAGACAGGTAGACAGAAGTGGAAGAAGAAGAAGAAGAGGCAGCAAAAAGGATCCTTCTTATTTCTCATGTATTTACTTAGCCTCTGTCTAAGAACATGGCAGTAGACTAGTGATGTGTCAAAGCTGGGTCTCTCTCTCCTATGTTGTGGATTGGAGTAGGTTTTGAGACGCACTGGGAAAGGAAGAGAGCAATAAGGGGAAAAGAGAGAGAGAGATAGAGAGAGAGGGGGAGAGATTGTATGAGTGTGTATGCTTTTTCTAGAGGCCTTGAAGAAGTGATGGGTGCTCATGTTATCCTGGGCTGGATCCCTGGCTCTAATTTAGGAAGGGGGGCTCAGATGTCAGTGATATCCCCAGACCCCCATCTGACCAAATCCATGTTCTAACCACCCTGCCAGCAGCTGTGCCTTGCCTTATGCTGCTGCTGCTGCTGGAGCCCTGCTGCAGCTCATATGGTCCTTCTTAAGATGCCTGGAAGTTTTCTTTTGTCATAGATTCCACAAGGTTATTGTTATAACCTGCTGAGGGATTGGTGTACATTACCTCTCTCTCTCTCTCTCTCTCTCTCTCCCTTTTTCACCCAAAAAGATTGTTATTTTTTTTTATTAGTGAACTGAATTTGGCAAAGGCAGGGGCAAAGGCTATAGACCCTAGGTTGACCAAGGAATGGACACACAATCAACAAGCAAAGATCAGTTGAAAGGGAAATGGGGTATTATGATGTTACAATAGGGAGGATAAAGGTGGGGAGCAGATGGATGGCCGAAATGATCAGAAATTGACCTATCCACTGAGAAATTGACAAAAACCCACTGAAACAGGGATGTGATTTTTTATGGTTTTGGTCAGTAAATATTTGTGTTGTTGTTGTTGTTGAAGTGGAGGCCCACCGAGGGAGGTCCACTTCACACCCAGTCTGAGTCCGCACTCTTTCCTCTCCCCCCCCCCCCCCTAGTTCTCTCCTCCTTTATCTTATTGGGTGACTTTTCAGTTCAACTGCATGTTGAGACAGAGACGCCCTAAGGCTCGGTCCCAGGTCGAGTTCTAAAGAGCCTTTCTAAGCGTCTGTAATCCCACACACGCTGTGGACAAGTAAAGCAGACAACCCTTGTTCGCACTTCTTCTTTCTGTTGCCACGACTGAAGCAACCAATAAGTGACTGAAGGGGACTGCGAAGTGACTGTGAAGGGACTGTTCCTATGTTTCGCTGTTCATGAGTTGTGGTTGTTGTTGCTATTGCTGTTGCTGAAAGGGAGAGGGGTTGGAAGAGTGCGAGAGGAGGGTATAAGTAGTATTTTAGCAGTATTTTCTCCGCTGTGGAAGGTTATCGATATTCCTGTGCAGGTCTTGATCGAAGGCTCTTCTTGTGGGAGTTTTGGATGTGGTCTCCACGTCAATCTCTTTCTTCAGAGCAGACATTAAGCGCATTCACCTTTTGATCGATAGTTCTGGGTCATGTCGATGGTACCGTTATCTGCATGCCGTGACGCATCTTGAACCAGCCTTTTGAGTGGTTTGTTTTTCGCCGAATTGCACGTTGCATGTACCCTGCTGGTATTCTCAAGCGCACAGGATCAACCCCTCGAGCTCAACCGGTCTCTGGTTCAATCGATTGTCGGCAGTTCGTTGATTGAGTTTGCTCTAGATATAAAACCTTACGCAGTTGGAATCTTAAGTGTTGTAAATCGGCCAATGCTTGTGTGAGATAGCCGCTGCGATTCATTGGAAATTGGTTCAAGTGGGCGCTTCTTCAACCAAGGGGATGTTATCATATCAGCTTGGTCTCAAGTTATACGTCTACGGTTCAGATATACCAGGACTCTAGCTAGTCGGTGGTTCACTGTTCCATTTCCTCGGAGGTGAGAGCCTGAGAGCCTGATCAGAACTGATTGTGCGAGCAAGCGAGAGTTTTCTGAGGATTAGATTGGCATCACTGAGGCGGTTGTATCGAGAGCAAAAAATCTGGGCGTTGTTCAGCGGTCGGTTAATTTTGTTGTGATAAGTATCAAGGTGTTCGGGAAGTGGGTGAGGGAGAATCTGACCTGTAGAAGGGATGGGAACCCATATGGTGCTGTTTCCTGAGCACGAGCACGTAAGGAGAAGTACATCATGGGGGGGAATGCATGACTCGGATGGTGGTGGATCCTGGGGCACGCCCTCGAGCTACGGAACGCACACCCAAGGAGGGGGGAACACGTGGAGCAAGAGAATTGCAGCCAACAGTGCCGAATCTGACTCGTGGGAGGTGCGCGCGTTCGCCGAGGACGCGAGCACGAGCGGCCAGTGGCCTCCGCGATCCTACTCTTGCAGTTTCTGCCAGCGCGAGTTCCGCACTGCGCAGGCCCTGGGTGGGCACATGAATGTTCACAGGCGAGAGAGAGCTCAGGCGAACCAGCTCGCGCAGCTTCGAAGTGGAGCAAGCAGCGGCAGCGAGACGCCCAATTCCACGTTCAACAATGCCTCGAGCGACTGGATCGCGAGAGGAAATTCGCATGACATGCAATCAAGCTCAGACTACGGTAGAGCATCGTCTTATGAATATCCACACGCCCATGTGGATTCTTATCAATCCTACGGTGGTTCATCTTCTAGTTACCGCAACCCTATCTTGTTCAACTCTCCCTGTGAATCCACCTGGAGATCTCCACACGACAAGCCTCTGGATTCAGTCGACCTTGAGCTCCGACTCGGTCAGAGATATGACTGATTTCGATCAGCGTCGAGGATTTCCATTCTAACTTTCAAGCTTCGATGATCACAGATAGTTGAACTGATAGTGGTTCAGAGTTAGACTTATGCCCGCCAGTCTATCCAGTCATTCACAGATGGCAATAGAGATTTCTGCCAGTTACAGTTGCAGTGAGCTCACGATTCAATGGATCAATCGCTAGATACAGAGCTTCCATGGCGGATTAGTTATTCCTCACTGCAGGGATTGGAATAGTTTCAGACATGGCGCTGATCTGTAATCATTGTACATATAATTGTGGAGACACATGTTTGTCGAGTCAGAGAAATTCATTGTTTGGAAAAAACATGAAAGTCTCCACGCTGTGTTCACGTCATTCTATGTATTCCGTTATAGCTAACATGGTCACATTCGTTCTGTTGACTGCCAAAGTATGACATCATGCACAGGCTTAAACCAAGCAAGGTTTTTAGATGCTCACGTTTGATTTTGTGTTCACATTTGTGCCGGTGGACACTAGATTTCATCAAAAGTCCTCCTTGAACCGATGATTCGAGGCTGCCAATCGTTGTATTTCGGAAAAACAGGAGTTGACTGTTTAGGAAGGAAATCAATTCTGCAGGATTTCTATATCTTCTTAAAAGTTTCGCCCTCTGCCCTTTGCAACGATTACAATGAGATCAGTTAAAACTCTTGATCCTGAAAGCCTTGCTGATTGAAAGGGCACCTCCACTAAATAATGCACCAGTTTGGTGCCCATTACTTGTAGCATGGAGCAAAGCACCGCACATGCAACGCGCCCGTTTGATCAATGATTGAAAGCAAAGCATCTCCATGATGAACCAGAAGAATTTTGCCGTCATTACTTTAGGCAAAATTTTATGTGATGACCTGGACTCTGGAGTCTTCCAACTCAAACTTCACATGTGCCAAAAGCCCTACATCAGTTGTTACTTCTCAATTGCAACAACATGGAATGCCAAAACTCTTTTATTTACATAGAGCTAGACCCTCATGTTCAGATCAATCCCTTGCAATTGATTCACATCTAAATCTTCACATAGTTGCTAAAGTACAGTGTCATTCTCTCAGAAAAGGCATGAACAGATTGCACTCTTGGTTCATTTGTTAATATTCATATATACAAACTGAGAATTAAACCTTCCTTTCCTTGGAAGTTAGGTGGGTGATGAAGGGCCACCTTTTCATGGGAAAGCCATATCAAAGGACCTCAAAGGCCATAAGGGCACTGAGAGATGGATCCATGAGCAACTTGGCCTCCTCCCCCATGCACTGTTCACAACACTCAACACATTAGATGGAAATGGATGGGGATGGCCTCTCTCCTTGCCCTTCTCTCTCATACCCCCTTTTACTACTCACGGCATTTACAATTCTTGCCTCCTTTGGGCACTCATGGAGCCATTACTTAAGCCACTTGGCTTGGCTTGGCAAGGAGGTAACAAATTGAATGCCACACTTTGGGGCTAGGAAAGGTTGGCAAAAAAAAATAAAAGGGGGTGGGGGAGGGGCCCCTTAGTGGGTAAAAATGGGTGAAAGAGTGCAACATGGGGTGATTTGAAGTGTCGGGGGGGGGGGGCTCACTGGATCACACAACTAAAGAAACATCTCCCCTTGTTAAATATATATAAATAAAGAATGTGGAGGAATGAAGGAAGAACAAAGAAAGAAGATAAAGTCTGTCTGTTGGTGGGGAAAAAGCAGGAGTACCCACATTTTGTAAGAATGGACACATATAACTTAAACCCTACTTTTTGGATTGTGTTGTGGTGACCATTCTGTGGCCTTACAGTATTGTTTTTATGCACACACATGCTCAGACTTTTTTTTTTTTTTTTTTTTTTTTGTAGGTGGCTGTTGAGGGGAAACTACTAAGTCAAAAAATATGTGTTCATTTTTTTTAGTTTTTAATTTTTGCCGAGTTTCTTCCCTTTTTGGCATCTTTTTAGTAATACTTACTGATTTGGTTCACACTGGATGATGGAGATTTTTTATTTTATTTTATTTTTTTTATATATTCAGTTGGCAACAGATCAATTGTGAATGCATCTTTTCAAATTGGTTGTATTGTTGAGTTTTTGAAAATTTTGATGAACAATAGAAATTCACATTAGTGCATGTATTAGAGGATTAGCAATATGGATATTACCATTAATATCTAGTTCTTTTCTCATGATTTTAAGCTTTTATTTTCTTCTACTAATTGCCAAAACAACTAGCACATTGCACATGGTGATTTTAGAATGTTGAGCATAGTTTCTTTTTAGTGTTTCTGAATAAATAATTTTCCAATAATGCTTGGAATGTAAATAAGTAAATTTTGTTGCAGCATGAGTATTATCATCAATTTTTAGGGTTTAAACAATCAATTTTTCTTGAAATTCTGAAAAAAGCACAAGACTACAAATTCAACATGCATAAAATTACTTTAAAAAAAAGTACTACTGATATATTTGAAGAATTAAATTGCATGAATTATGAAAAAAAGATTTCATTCTGTTAAATAATAAACCAGTAAATTCAACAAATGTTCCTACCAACAAAGTAACAAGCATCATTTATCTGATATTGTTTGAAACAATAATACCCACTCCATTATTCCCTATCAACCCTATTAGAACCGTGACATGTTATTACAATATCTTTATCAAAAGAGGCTTAAAAACAACACAACCACAAACAAATACATTGAAAGAACTCAAGAGCATTTGAGGAAAGTTTTTGTACCATCATGAATACTATTGTGATAATGGTAGTCAGGATCATTTTATTTATTTATTTATTCATTTTTCCTACATTTACTTACTATTTCAATACATTTGAAAGTTGTAAACTATGACAACCCATAGAGGAAAGAGACATTGCTTCTTCTCATTGGGCTATGAAGTAGAAATCTACTTTAGACCTTCAATTTTTGGGGGTGATGGGCACCCATTCAAAAAGTGAGGGGGACTTGTCAAAGTCACAAACTGCGCTAAAGATGGATCAAAGCAGTGGTGAGAGCCTGTAGCCTACAAATAACCCCCCCTTTGACCACAAAATATGGTACTTCTTGCCACTTTCCTTTCTCTCTTTGCATTCAATTTTACCAAGTCTTTTGAAGTACAAAAGGAGTCAACTGCTCAAGTTCACTGAGATTCTTCACCACCTCCCTCTCTTTCTTCTTTACTGAAGAGCCAACCTAAAGGAAAACAACTTTAAAAAACTAAAAAAACTAAACTAAAAGGACCCAGAAAAAGACAAACAAGTGAGATGAGCAGACAAGAGCAAGATATAGAACATAAACTGATGGTTGGGACAGACTTCATGAAAAAACTAACTTCTTCTTCTTCTTCTTCCAGCCAATATTAGCTAAAAGAAAAGGTGCATTGTTGTTCCCTAATTTGTAAACTTGTAACCCATTTTTTATCATAGAAAATGTGGGTGGTGAAGGTGTGTGGGTAGACACCATGTTGGCTATAACCATCCAAAGGCCAAACATGTCTCTACTGGACATGGGAAAACTTGGAAACATCCCAAGACAAGACCTTGTCCAAAGGCCAGGAAAATTCCTCGGCCCCACAATCTGAGTGAGTGGGGAATCTGCATTGACCAGTCTTTGTGTGTCTCGAAGTGCTTGCTCAAGGGAAAGCCTGGTCTTCAAAGGCCCTTGCCTTCTTTTTCCACTATCAAAGCGGAGAGAGAGAGAGAGAGAGAGAGAGTTTCATTTGTTTGTTAGCCTTTACTTTAATGGTCCAAACCGCCACCCAATCATCAGGTGGGTTAAGCCTCCATAGTGAACTGTGGCCAGTCGCAGTTGTAGTAGAAGAAGGAGAATAATAAACAAAACAAACAAAACAACCAAAATGAAACGAAAACAAAACTGTGACTTGTTCAATGTCATGCCTGTGGAATCTGGATCATTGCAATTTGAAGGCCGCCCAAAAGGGCTATTGATTGACAATCCCCCCCCCCCCAAAGCATGTAGAATGCTAAACTAACTATCTCTGTGTAGGTGCAGCAGAATCATGCAAGAATGAAGCAATAGCCACATGACTAGTCCAGTCAGCAATGCTTCACTATCATTGAAAGTCAAAGAGAAATACAAGTGCCTCAAATAGGATTTGCATTATCATGTTGTTGCTTTGGAGCTCAAGGGTTGTTTGTGGTTAAGCCTTTGGTGAGTTGAATGGACATGGTTTGGAAAAAGTGTGAGCAAAGGGGGCCCTTTGAAGTCCAACAGAGGTTCCTTGACTTTGTTTCATGTGTTTGTGTGATTTTGAAACTGTTTTTGAATTAGTAGCTTTAAGATGTCTGTGATTCATTCCAAAAGTTCCTTTCTGTTCATATTCTAAATGATACATGCATTCATACATACTTGTATACATTGGTATTCTTTTAAAACAACTTAACAATGTTTTGGTAAACATACTTTCAAAGATTATATTAAACAATAATTTTCATTGAAGATTTAAACTGGAAGAACATTTTTTTCCAAAATTTTATGTGAACACAAAGTTTCTTCGCCTCATTTTTCTTTTAAAAACTCAATTTAGCTTAAAATCTGGATAAATAAATAATCTGAATATACATACATACATACATACATACATACATACATACAAATTGTCAGTTAATCTCTCTTTGTCTTCCTAGGCAGAACCCTTGTAATAGTAACCTTAGAAATGGGCGTTTCATACAATTTGTCTTTTAAAGGCATAAAAACAATTTGAAATCAGTATAGCAGTTCCAAGTTCCAGTATGAGTTTCATCCTCATGAAGGAACGATAACACCCCTAATTCCTTCTCAAAGGTCTGAAATGCTACATACAATATGACATTCAGATTCATTGTATCAATTGATTTCCAAAGGGGAAGAGAGAAGGGAAAATCCTTGCAAAGAGATGGATGTGCTTCACCTCCTCCGGGCAAAAGAGGAGTAAAAACACAACCACGGCACATGCTTAAAAGTAGGATGCGATGCTTCGGGAACAGCACCGAGTCTGTTTTTATACAAACAAACATTAAAAAAACAAATCTCCAGGAATGTTTTGCATTAGAATCCTTGACACGATCGGAATCCCAGTAGCCTGGGGGGCGATGAACCAAAGCGCCAGTGCCAGGCTATGCGACGCCGAGATCGCACACACAACCCGCAGAGCTCCACAGTCCAGACCTGACTCCTCCTCTATCGATCCCTCCATTCTCATGTGTGCGATCAGTGCATCGATCTCCGTGATAGACAAACCCTTCGTTGCTTACCGGAAGGCTAAAGATCGAGGCCGAGGAATCTAGATACCTAGTACACAGATCGATTGTAGTGTAGCTGGGCTAAATTCCTCCGCTTAGGGGAATTCGGACATTTTCTTTTCCTTTTCATTTCTTTTTTGTCTATCTTTTTTCTGTTTTTATTTTGTCCATATATATATAT